CAGTGTCGATATAGTTTAGGAATGTTCAGCCCACAACATAATTTCTTTGCATGTTATAGTTTTTAAACCCAGGTGACGTCATGTATCCAGGCATGTGTGGAGCGCAGCCCTCTGACCCTCATTCCGCTGTAATGGAAGCCATATGAAAGGGGAAGCGAGGGTGATGTTGGGGGAGGAACAATGATTGGGATTGTCAAATTAAAACAAGGCTAGACACACTTTGAATGGAGCACTACCTCCTGTCTGTCACTTCTATTGATGTACATTTTATGAAGCCTCATGCACTGGTTTACCTCATGTAACACAAGACAATTTTTTTTTACCTTCAGATTGTTGTGAAATGGCTGCATCAGTTCTGTTCCATTGTTTTCATTATGTGGTAATGTCCTGTGCAAGCTCACATACCCAAAACAATTCTCCACTCTAAATTTTCCACTCTTAACTCTCAACTACAAAACTAGCAAGATTGTATATGTTCCTAATGTAGTATCTGAACATCTTCCATCACATGTCCCAAATATGACAGTTTTGCTTAGGCCTGTGTGAGAACGTCATTTCTAGGTTAAATCCATTTGAGCAAGTTTTCCATGCTCTGGTTACAAAAGCACTGTGAGATGTCTTTGTCACTTGCTGTCAAAACCTATTTTTGTTGAATTAGCTTTTTTATTTTCCTTACCCACCCCTCCTCTGGATTATCTCCGTAGTATGTGTTAATGGAATGCACTGCCTTGCAAGACTGAACATGCTTTACTCACACTGTCCCAGAACAAGTGGTCAACGAGGATATGAAATTACCTATCTTTTGTATTGTTTGTTTGCCAAAGAATGGATTGCACTGTAATGCCTCTCAACAGTAATAAAAAATAAATAAGCCATGGCTCACTATAAAGTCCTCTGCTGCTGTCCCAGTTTAGTCAAAAGGTTAGGATAACACAAGGTCAACCCAATCTGATTGCTAGCAGATGTTCTCTGTCCATTAGTTGTCATTACCTTATCAGAGCTAATCAGCACAGTTAGATTTGTTATGTGGTTGTCCAACACTAATCTCGGCATGGTTCCTATAGAGCCCTGGGAACTGTGCTCTCCACAGTGAGTGGCTTAATTTTGTAAATAACAAAAGTTAGCACAAATGACCCATAGAGCAATACATCATTTCTTACTGGATTTATCTTTGTCTGCAGCATTAGACCTGTTCTCTCTCTTAGCCCCTGTATATCTCCCCCTGTAGACTGGTTTGGCAGCTGAGCTACAAAAGGGATGGAGGCTCAGGAAAGAAAACTGGAACAGGAAATGAGGTTTCCAGTGGTTTGGTTGCACAGATAAAAGTGCGCCCTTCTCTGGGCCGGCCAGGAAAAGACATTATCACACTGACAAGGGACAAGCAGTAAGAGTATATGACATGGACACAAATCACACTTCCCTTTGGCTCAAGAATAATGTACACAAATATTTCCTATATTTGTGTACTTACAAAGTAGCTCAAGGTCACTTTAGTGTGTATGTTTGATGGAACATCATTGGTGAACTTTTGGAGGGCGTACAAAGAAGCACATACACCGCAATGAAAATGAATATTCAAAAGCAAGATTTGGAAATTCTAAAATAACTTCTGAAATAAAGTCTCGACAAGTAGTAGTGTTTTCATTTAGTATAGAGCAGGAGTTTGCAGCTGCACAACTTGGCCCTGAGGCAGGCCTCTTCACACTCATCACACACTGAAATTTCATTGAGGCAATTGGCTCGATGTGTTGTACCTTTATTGGCCAAGGTGGAGAATTCTTTCCCTTCACTGATGGAACATCCCTCACATTTCAGAAGTGGGTGGGATGTGAGAATAGGCTTCCTTTGGCACATAAGGGTTTAGCATCCCAAGACTCCAAGGACCACAGAGATGTGTCATTCCCACTGAGTGGGAGATTCATGAGATTAGTTCCCACTAATATCAGTGGATTTACGCACACTTTATTCCCCAAGCTATACTTCACATTCAGTCATGGTGCATAAAGCAGCTCAGGAGGTTAGTAATACATGTGTGAAACCACAGTGGTAAACCCCATTGTATAATGTGGTTCCTTAATTCTTAACTTCACATAAACAGACCACTCCGAGGTTTGGCTGTACCCTCTAGGCTTAGGTCACATAATTTTATTACATTTAAAAAGATAGCAATTTTGGACTTGGCCTTGTAAACTAATCCCAAACAGTTGTTTCTAAAGCATAGTTGGAGTAATACCCTTTTCATTTTAGTAGCAGTAGTTTGTGCTCACTGCTGCTGTGTTGTCACTCATACATGCATGGTTCTCAGCTGTTAATGGATGACATCCCTGCTGAGGCGCTCCACAGCTGTGCTCCCTGTGCGCCCTGGTGCACTTTTCAGCTTTTGTTGTTTCAAACTCACAGTGCTTCGGTTACACTAATTAGATTTGCTGCTTTAACTCAGCACCAAATCCAAGTTGCATTTGACCTCTTTCTTACTTAAGGGTATTTCTCTGCCATTTGAGAATACCAAAACTATTTTCCCATAGTTATTTTTTTGCCGAGACAAAATAAGTTACACATACACATAAGCTGACTATGTTGACAATTAGCCTCTGACAATTAGACACTTAGACAATTAGACTGACCCAGGGCCTGGCTGCTCCTCCTCTCCCAGTCAGGGGCACTGTCCTCAAAAGCTGACACAAGACAAAGCAAATGCAGGTTAGATTCAGCATTGCCCATTCCACAAACACATTACAAATTGTTTCCATGTTCCATCAGAGTTTAAGACCACACTATGAGCCTTAGGTGTTACACTAGGCCCATAGCTTATCTGATGTAACATCAACATGGCAACATGGCTACAAAAAAAAATTAATAAAATTAAATAAAACTTTTATGCCCTCTAGTTTGGGTCAGAGAGAAATTAACCAGCATAGGCTTTCTTCTTTTTGTCACAAATTGGTGACACGTGGCTATATGTGACCATCTTTGTTGGATCCAGTGCATGTAGTCACAGCCAGACACACTCATGTAGTGACTCAGATAAATTCTTCACATTGGTGCTATTGGGTAAGTGACCCAGCTATCAAAATAAACAAATCTGTTAATACTAAATAAAGAAGAGAAGGTTTTCAAATGAGCATAGATGTCTGATATTCATTATGTATTTACAGGAGGATGGAGGTGGCACCTGAAGGAGCCCTAACATGTTCATAACACAAATAGTCGAAGGGGAAAGGAATGATCCTGAGGCCACATTCAACTCTAAATCATCATAGTGAAATGCTTTTTGGACAATGTGTCACCTCTGTCAACTTAAAAGTCTCATACATCATCCTCATAAACTGTAGTGGCAGGTGTCTTAAGTCAAAGACATAAACCCTACTAGCCTAAAGGACGCTTTTAAACACAAATAGGAAGTTGAACAGCTTTACCTGACCTCTTCAACAGTACATAGGTCAAGTACATAACCTTCTTGGTGGTCTCAGGACTACATGGAAATATATGCTGCCCCATGGAAATGCTGCATGGTCAAAATAAAGTTACTTCAGTAAACTGCATTTTGTGTCATGCACCAGACAGAGAAACAACACTTCAAGGCCTAGTAGCACAAATGTGATGAGGTGTAATTAAGGAGCCTATAATACCAAATATCACATTAGGTTGACAATACCAGATTTGTAATTAATAAGGATTTTTTCATATCCACATTTCAGAGGTGTAGCATGATAGTCCAGTCTCGTTTTGTGTTACAGTGTAATAGCATATGTTGTCCTGAAGATGACTCCATTTACTTATATTTGTGGACTCAAACAATTCAATTCAGTTCAGTTTTATTTTTTCCACAGTTTTGAATTATAATCCCACAAAGGCACACATTTATATGTATATGTAAATATGTTCATGCAGTTGACATATATTATGTATGTGTTAACTGTGAAAAAAAAACATGGATTCCCAAGGAAGCTGGGAAGCTTGTATGTATGGGGCCACTCACCACAGCGTGATTCATTTAGTGGCTTGACAGGTTCAGTTTTTTTGGTTAAATTATAACAACAGACAACACAATACATTACTAATAATAATGCTAAGAAATATGGCACTGTAGACCTATATTATGTGCAAAGAGAGATCCCCGTGCAAAAGAAGAACATCAGCTGTACTCAGTCTCTCACGCATTATAATTTTCCAGTAGTTTACGCTTTAAATTGATTTTAAATATGGATAATGAGGCAGATTGTTTAATGTTGTTATCTAATCCATTCCATATTTGCGGACCTTGATGACAAACACTAAAGCTGGTGCCTTTTAATTTCCAAAATTTTTCTTTCCGAAGACCCTTTTCCCTTGTATTATGTTGATGAGAGGATAAGCAGAATGGGATGAGTTCATACAATCAGCTGTTGAATTTGTGAACCACACTGTACATTACACCAGCATTGTGACATATCTGACTTTCTGGATGCTTTAGGAGGCTGTATCTGCGGAAGTGAGGATTTGTAGGAACAACTCAGAGCAGAGGGGTAACATCAACTTTCTTTGGTAATATAGACCAACAATATATATTATTATATATCATTATATAATATTATATCTATATTATATCATATTATATTATATTATATTATATTATACTATATTATTTTTGTATAAACCTATGTCTGAAAATAGTCTGTGAGCATATGCACTCTTACTGGATGTAATACTTTGTTTTACCCACCAAAAAAAAAGGCCTAAAAGTGCATTGCTTGGCTAATTTACTTAATGCTTGCGTAAACTAAACAGTGCAAATTTCCCCAGTAAAGGGTTGTGGTGGCATTAGTCACAAAGTCTTCAAAACCTCGACAGGAAGCTCTAGAGACATTTTTGTAACACAAAGTAAGTTCCAATCACCAGCCACACGCAAAAAAGGACAGACAGACAATATCACTGGCTCATATAGTTTTTACAAAGGTAAAAACGACCACACCAAACATCTCTTATTTGGTGATTTTAGATCTTATCTCGGTAGTATTTTTGTGGTGCATTTGCCAACACACTTTTTCTCACAAGTACATAGAACACAATCCTTTGATATGTGTACTTTATTGTTTCTTATAAAAATAATCCATATTCATGCATTAATCATCTTTGGTATTATTCATGAAAAACTAAACAATGCCTCAATAATATATTTTCACATAAAAAAGAATAACCTTTCATTAAAGAATAATAACATATATAACATAGTAGACACATTTCCTCATTTCTATTTACTATTTACATATATTTAATATCCCTATTCCAACAGACACATCAAACAAATAATTCCCCTTATACTGCTTTTATTTTAATTTTATTTTTTACCACACCATCTTTGTTTCAGAATGTGATATCTGCTAATTGTACACGTTTGACCTGTTTTCATTGCAAATAACTTGATTTTAGCTGCTAACTATAGCATTGTATACTACAGTCTCCCAGTTGCTCTTAAAGAAGCACTGTGTAACTTTTCTGAAATGTTTTTCTTTGCCTAGAATGTTTAACAGTGTTACATTAAACAAGCAGGTAATATAAGATCTGTGGAGAGGGAGCCCTGTTAACGTGGTGAGGTTGTTTTTTTGTTTTTGTTTTTTTTTGGTTTTTTTACAAATGCAAGACAAATAAACTGAATTCTATATCATGGAACAATCGAGATAAAACAGAGACATTTTCACTTTATGCACTGAAGGAGGACATGTTAGAGCTGTCTGCAGACTTGAGCCCGGTGGAGAGGCCAGTGACACCAGTTTCAGACGTGTTGCGTGACGTGCGAGCATTGTAGATGTACTTCTTGCTAAGGCACCACAAGTCCACCATGATCTGTCGGAAATGGCTCCTGAACTTGACCCCCACAAAGGCGTACAGGATAGGGTTGAGGCAGCAGTGGAGGTAGGCGACACTCCGGAAAATGGCCAAAATCTGAAACTTGATCTTCTCCATTGCACAGCTTCTTTCTTTGAACAGGGACAGCGTGTGCTTCAGAAGAGCCAAGTTGTACGGAAGGTGACACAAGATAAAGACCACAACCACAGCAAAAATCACGCGAATGGCTTTGTGGCGTTGACTACTTTGTGCCCTGAGTAACGTTATAAGAACGCAAGTGTAGCAAAAGACCATTATAAGAAAAGGCAGTAAGAATCCTATGGACATCTGTAAGCTCGGGACCAAGATTTTCACAAGTTTGGCGGTTTCGTTCTTGTCAAAGGACAGTTCACATGACATAGATATTGAACCAAAATGTTCATCTGGAAAACTTTCGGTATAGATGAATGTAGGAAGAGTTAAGAATAAAGCAAAAACCCATATGACAGAACAGATGATCCGACTATAGAGGAGAGATTGGGAGCGAGAGCCAAAAGAACGCCGAGCCAGGACTATGGCAATGTACCGATCTCCGCCAATACAAGCCAACAGCAGCATGCCACAGTACAAGTTAATGCTATAAGTGGAGCGCAGGATCTTACAGGCAGTAGAGCCCATCCACCAATTATTCTGCTCATTGTAGATGATAAAAGGCAATGCCACGACAAAGATCAGGTCAACCACAGCCACATTAAAAAGATACACATCGGTCATTGTTTTGGTCCTTTTGTAAAAGACATAAGTTGCGATGACGAGGGTGTTTCCAATCAGGCCGAAGGCGCAGATAAAAGAGTGGATGTATGTCTGAGCTAGGATCTCCTGTGGGTTTGGGGTCAGGTTACAAGGCTCATCGTCTGAATAGTATTCTTCTTCTTCATAGCCCTCAGTGGTCATCATTTAAAACTGTGAACAAGAGAAGTGTAATTATAGAGTAACAGTGCTATTCTGTTCACTCTTAAATAGAACCAGAGAAGAAACAGGAAGACTCTCATAAATGAAATGGTATTTGAGAGTAATATTTATGAAAACTGTAGTTTTAAATGATGAGAACTGTTAATTAACATAATTATAGGCTTAAGTTATGTCTTAAAATAAGGCTTATCTTCTTAATGGCAAATGGGAACTTATGAAAGTTATGTATTTTTTGTGCTGAACTATCAAAAACATTTATTCATATTTATCTGTACTCCAAGTACAGATTGGATTTTCCCAGCATAGAACAGACAAAGGTGGGTGCTTCATGGGATTTTCTTTCTTTGTTTTTCTTTTTTGGAGTAGTTGTTCATAATCTCCTTCAGCATTACATGCATCTTTTGTGCCCTAGTTCAGAATTTCCTCTACTTGACCCAGTTTTGAGTAAATGTGACACTTGAAAGCATGAAAGCACACAAAGCCACAGGTGGCTAGGCTGTGAATTTCTGCTGATGTTAGAGAATATATTGTTTTTTATCTCTGATCTATAGGTACAGTAAATGTATGTAGGCAACTGTGTGTGGGAAGATGACACGGGGTAAAAAGGACAATGAAGAGTAAACGTCAAAACAATATATGTCATAATAATATGAATCTTTCTGACAGCTTTCATTTCTTACTCTTCTAAGATTAAGTTTACAGGCCTACACTGTAGTCTACACGCTAACATTTTGCAATGAGGAAGGAATCATATTTAAAGCAATTATTATCTGAAGGGGAACACACAAGAAAATCTACAAACCACCCATAACAGGTTTCCAAAAAGGAACCTGAAGCTTTGCACATGATATTCTAGTTCCATATTTCTGTAATGTGTATAGTTCATATAAAAATATGGAATTTCTATTTTTTTATTCTATATTTCTATATTATATTACAAAAATAATAATAATAATAAATAAAAAAAAAAAAAGGAGTGGGGAGAAGCAATGCTTATCTACCCCTACCCCTTTTACAATTCCATTAAAGCAATAATGTGCTTCTGCCACTCTCATAGTAAGTCACATTACTCCAGATACTAAAATAAATATAGCGTAGTTTACATTCATAAACTTAAATTCCTTCTTGTGCATACATAGCTATAATCATTTCTTTATATCTATGTTTAAACATTTTCATATTTGGAATTTTTTTTGAGCTCATCACTTATAGAGTTCCAGATTTTGACCTCACAAACTGAAATACAAAAACTTTTTCTTGTTGTACGTACTCTAGCCATTTTAAAGAGATTAATTCCTCTTAAATTATAAGAACTTTCCCTTTCCCTAAAAAGTTTCTGAATATTTTTAATAGTTCTTTCCTTTCTACCTTGTACATTATTTTATGTTTATTATCTCCATCTTTGCTGTTAATTCTCTTGAAATATATCTTAAATTCAGTAATTCCACATACCTTTAGCAGATGAACCAGAGGTGAAGTAGGTAGATGTTTCTTTCCTGGCTGGGCCTCTGTGCTGCCTCAGAAGTGGTGTGTCTCTTGTTTGAGAGGTGAGAGTGCAAAGCCACCTGTACATGCACCACCCACCCTTAAAACTCTCTCTCCTCCGAGTGCACTCTGCTCTCATCTCCATATTCAAATCTAATGTTTTTAATGTTTTTCATGTTGGCCTACTGAATGCTGCCTTTGAGTTACAGACATTGTTTTTGTACTAGGAAAAATAAAACTATGAGGAAGAGAAAGTGTATTTTTTGTATCTGAGTTCACACATTTACATGAAACATCTATAACATATGGCCTACCATCTGTTATAGCTGTCTTTGTCTTATCCATATCTGGAAATTTTATGAAAACCTCCCACTTTAGTAGTTTTCAAAAAATACTTTTTTTTTTTTTTTTTTTACTTTTTGTGCACTTTTTGACTATAATATCTTGAACCACGTGTTTGAATTTCTACTTGAGTAATATTGTTTTAAATTAACAGTACTTTTATTTCAGTACAATTTTGGCTACTTTACCCAGCTCTGGGTGGAAATTCTAAATATTAGCAGGTATTATGTTGGAAATACTTCATATCCTTATCATTTAGATCATATGTCAGATAGTCACTGAAAATACATAATTGTCTATTTCACATTGTCTCCATTACAGATCCCCCAGGATTTTAAAATATAGCATATCTAAATATATACAACAGAGTGCAAAACTTTTACAAAGGAAAGCAAAGATTCTTTCTCTTCTGGGTCACTCTGGTATCAACCATGATGAGAATAAATGATGAAATCGCTCTTTGAAAGCACTGGAGTTCATAGAGTTAAATCCAAATAATTTGTTTATTGTCCATGTTTTCCTTGTGGAGCTTGTAACAAGGGCCCAGTGAAACTCATCTGTTTTTGGACCGGAGCAGGTGCAGAACAGAGCCAAAGCTGTGGATCGGGGAAGGGCTCTGGGCTTGACACTGTGGATATGCCGGCTGTGTTCTACTCATTTTTCAGACTACAAAAGTTCAAAAATTGTCAGAAGCAGAACCATAGTCAATGCCCAAGGCTGCTAGAGAGAACACTACACGGGCTGTGACTGAGACGGGCTCAGAGCACACTCACCACTCTGCCACTGACTCTGTGTTGTGAGAGCTGTGTGTGGTCCCTGCCCAGTGAACCGGCTGGACACTTTGCAAGTCATTGTGACCTTTTTTTTTTTTACTTGCACAAAGCATGTTATTGTTTATTGCTGATTGTTTATAGCCAACCAGGACTTCACTGAAATACACTGAGGTAGCCTATTTCTTTGAGGCATTTCTCATTGTATGTTTACAGATGAACCATGACATGCACAATGACAGGAAGAGCACAGGTCACTTGTGTCCACTGTAGTTTCCACACAAATTTCCTCCCAAACCGTCCCGGGCCAGGTTTAGAGATGAGTCGCTGGTGGAAATCACCATATGGTGCAGCACTGTCCTCTCAAAGCAGGTCGTCTCACACACAGCACCAGCCTGTTGAAATGTCAGGTGCAGATGCTTGGTGTGAGTGTATGCCACAAGCTTATCCCCAAGAGTTGCTCCCTGCTGTGTCTGCACTGAAGCCTAATCTCACGGCAGACTCGTGACAAATTTGCCCAAACCATTAGCAGCATCCGAGCACACACCTCCAAAACTCCACTTGCTTGTAAACTCGTGAAAGTTTTAAAATAAATAAATATCTCACTGTGAGGCAGCAGGCACCAGCCAGTTCAGCACGAGTGGGGATCACACTCCTCTCTTACAGGGACCACACTCTCACAGGGGCCACACTCCTCTCTCACAGGAACCACACTCCTCTTTTACAGGGACCACACTCTCACAGGGGCCACACTCCTCTCACACAGAAACCACAATCTCACAGGGGCCACACTGCTCACACAAGAACCTCACCCCTCTCACAGGGGCCACACTCCTCTCACAGGGACCACACTCCTCTCACAGGGACCACACTCCTCTCACACGGGGACCACACTCCTCTCTTACAGGGACCACACTCTCACAGGGACCACACTCCTCTCACACGGGGACCACACTCCTCTCTTACAGGGACCACACTCTCGGGACCACACTCTTACAGGGACCACACTCCTCTCACACGGGGACCACACTCCTCTCTTACAGGGACCACACTCTCACAGGGATCACACTCCTCTCACACGGGGACCACACTCCTCTCTTACAGGGACCACACTCCTCTTACAGGAACCACACTCCTCTCTTACAGGGGCCACACTCCTCTCTTACAGAGACCACACTCTCACAGGGATCACACTCCTCTCACAGGAACCACACTCCTCTCTCACAGGGGCCACACTCCTCTCAAACAGAAACCACAATCTCACAGGGGCCACACTCCTCACACAAGAACCTTACCCCTCTCACAGGGGCCACACTCCTCTCACAGGGACCACACTCTCACAGGGGCCACACTCCTCTCTCACAGGGACCACACTCCTCTCACAGGGATCACACAGGGACCACAATCATTGTGATCCTACAGGCTTTAATAAGATTTTGGGGGTAAGTTTGACACGCTATTCACAACATAATAATAGCACCACACTAAAATTATGTTATTTTTGTGTTTTTTGTTTCACACTAACACACAATGACACACTATTTACAAGCTATTTACATCATAATAATACATCCCACCACACTAAACACTACTTTTAATTTTTTTTCCATAAATCACTTCTATGACTCATTATACTGTACATGTAGAATACTTTTTGGAAAGATAATCAGGTGTTAGGGTTTTTCTGTGTTTTCTACAGCATTATAGTGCTGTTCAAAATGTGTTATTTGGGACAGTTGGCATATTTTGTATAGTTATTACAGCTTGTATTGTATGTGTTAGATTTTTTTTTTTTTTTTTTACCTTTAAAATAAATACCTATTTTTATGGTCTAAATAATATGGTGTGTCCTGCTTTGGCAATTGTTTACCAGAGCAAAGCCAGCAGTGTCCAGTTCTTTAACACTTTATCTCAGCCCTTCCCCAAGTATTTCCTTTAGGCTCGTTGTCTGGCTCTGTGCTCAGTGCCCTGGTGCACCTGCTACAAATGCTTTCCATTTGACCTCATGTACAGGAGATCAGAAGAGCACACATTCAGTTAGGTTGACTTACCACAAATATCTAGACTTTGCTAAAAGACCTTTTAGTTTAACAAAAAAAAAAAAAAAAAGTTTTTTGAGTAATATGGTCAGATCTCACAGGGATTAAACACTAACGAGAACAGCGGACAGTCTGACTTCCCGTTTTTTCCTCACTAAAGTCTCGTAGTCCGAGTTAGGGGGTGGTCATTAGAAGTCCGGGTGAAAATGTCCCGAAATGTTTTTTCTTAGAATGACGTTAACAAATGCAGGTTTCATGTAGTCAAAGTTTGCTCGAAACACGCGCCTCACGCGTCTGTGTACAGTTCATATTATTATTATTGTTATTTTTTGATATTGCCTCTTATCACAACATTTTACACCCAGTGGCCTCTGGCTGCCATTTTTAACATGCCCAGCAGATGGAACTATCCTATCGATGTAGCCCAGAAGTCTCCAGAGATACTTAGACCAAACAAAAATGCAAAACGCTGGAGATTGCACGAAGTTAAGCTGTACAGTCGTGAGTTACATTTAGATGCCGAGACTACAACCCCTAATCCTTTTATCTGTGCACAAAGTTAAACTTCATATAGAGCCAACAATGAAAACGGCATATGATTAATCAGTTTTGAATGTTTCCGCGTCATGTGTAGGGCATATAACTCCTTAATCCTATTGGGGAGATACTGAAGGAGGTGGAGAGCTACAGCTCCTGAGATATATATAAAAAAAAAACAAAAAAAAAAAAAAAAAAAACATGGCAATTCGCTAGGGAGCCTACTTATAAACGGAATGCAGTTCAAACTAAAACATATCACGAGTACATAACCTACATATGCCACTATAAGACAAATAAAAATGCCTCCCTAACAAACAAAAATGTATTTATTTATATTTTGCGCCACCAGTTCGATAGCTGGTTAAACTGGTGGGGATAACTCACAAAGAGACAATATTGGCCAACTTTAGTGTGAAGCACATGAGCGGATGTACGTGCGCACTGAGCGCACACTTGATTATCCAAACACTTACCTGTTGACACCTGAGGCGCGCGCTCGGCGGGGGCAAGTCCAAACTGCGGCGCGAACCCGCTCTGCAGGTTCAGCCTCGTGAATCACTCTGTGCAGAGCTCTTCTCCTCATGGTTTTGTTTTCTTGTTCGCAGTCTCCTGACGAGGACCTGCTGCAGCCGCCACCATGAGTAAATCCAGCACTTTAAAAGTCAAGAACTTGTTTAAATCCAAGTCTCTGGATAAAGAGAATAAGGACATAAAGAGGGCAGCGAGCAAAGATGGCATCCTCAGCAGTGCCGTGTCTCTACCGTCGAGTCCCGGAGCGGTCAGCCCAGTGGACCACAGCACCCTGCCCTCGCTCATGTCCCCTGTGTCCCCCAAAGAGAAGAAGAGTAAAGGGATGTTTTCACTAAAACTTAAGAGGAAAAAGCCCAAGCAGAAAGCAGAGGATGTGTTCTTCCCGGAGACTGGAGAGCCAGACAGCTTTAGCCCTGGACACATGTAAGTAAACCATTTTAAAAGTTAGATCTTTTTTATTTTTATTATTATTACATTCAACCTATTTATGTAAGATGCAAGATTGGTGTTGTCGAGTCCACTGGGTTTTGTGAGTTTGTTACTTAGCTGATAACAAGCCCCTACACGTGAATAAATGGATCAATAATTTTTCGACATGAGGCCCCAAGTGTTGGAACCAGCCCCACTCTCACAGACTAAGGTGACAGGCAACGAGAGCATCCAAGTGAGTAACCAGAGCAGCGTGAGGGAGCTGTTATTCCCTTTGGCAAATTTTTGATTTGTTACTTCTGAGAGCTGTGGACAAACTAGTTTAGTCATGTAAGGCTCTTGTTGAAAAACCAAGCCACACACTGCATGCACACACAGAGGTATACTGAGGTGAATATTTACTTTAGGTCATTTATAACAAAAAAAATAATAATAGTGTTTGTCTGCACAGAAGTTAAATCATGCCATTTTTTTGCACTCACCTATTATGTAAGAACATATACGTAGGCTATCCCGTCATTCCTACAGTACCTGAATACAACAGACAGACGCAACTAAAAACATCTTTGCCAGACCACAATACACTTTGAACTATCCTTTCAAACACTTCAGGTTCATCAGCTCTGTGGTCAATCCCTTCAGTAAAGACTGTACCTGACTCAGGTGCTGTTGATGTTTTGACTATTGTGATGTCTGTTTTGTATAGTTCATCTACATTAGCAGGTGAGGTGACTGTGAGGAAGGAAGGCCTTGCTTAAAGTGTAATAGAACAAAGAAGAACCTGCCGCACAGGTGTGACCATGCTCTTACCTGAATTACATTTGGCTCTTTGTGCTTGGTTCAATGAGACATGCGAGCAAACACAGCCCGAGTGCAGCTGAAGCCAGTGAATGACAGCTCCATGACTCCACAATTTATTAAGCCGTCACACAAGCATCTTTACCATGTGTAACAGGTTAAAAATATTTTTTAACATTTCAAATATGTTGATAATTTAAAGAAATATTAATTATTGACTAGGCTTGTCATGATAATTACTATATTGACTTATTGTTCAATATATAGTGTTGGGAAGTAACTGAATACATGCACCGAGAATACATTTTCTGAATACTACTAATATTTTAATAAACTGTATTCAGGTTACTCTTTCATTTAGTGGTATTCAGAATACAGTTACTTTTCTAAAATGGAATATAACATAATTTAGGCTTTAATCTGCTCAAAATTTGTGAGAAAAATATAAAACATAGCTCTTGCAGTGAGTGCAGGTGTGATTTTTCCTTCTCTGATCAGCCATAAAAAAGCAAACTATGAAACAAACATGGAGATGTTTTTAATGCTAGCTGTATCTTTACACTATCATTTAAATGCAAATTAATGTAATATATTCTAAGTATTCAGAGTACAGTACTCTGATTGGACCATGTATCAGAATAGTTTACAAAATACTTTTTAATGCAGGTATTCAGTGCTCTGTAACAAAATACATTTTCAAAGTATTCTTCCCATCACTGTCAATATATGAAAACTGGAACAATGGGCTCAATGTTTATCGTGTGCATAGTTTATTTGCAATAATGGGGAGATTTGTCTTATTTTTGTTGTAATGCAAAAAGATTTGAGCTGTCGAAGGTTGAAAAAGTAACCTCTATAGCTAATTATTGTATCATTCTGCGATTTATTTGTAGAATTAAGTAGACATTTTTACAAAATAAAATAAAAAAAAACTACTTATAACTTGACTGAAGATGAAGGCTGAAGATACAGAGATAAGAGAATTGTTGGGGCATGTATGGTTATATATTTAAATGAAATCTTCATGTTTTAGATGTATGGATGGTATTGTAAACAGTGGAAAAAGGAAGTGAACTTACTGTAACCTTCTCTAATGCTATGTTACAGTGATGGTAAGGCTATAATTTGGGTACTTCATGGAGATTCTGTTAAGTACTTGAGAAGTAGAAAGTTATATCCTTCAGGAAATCCAGAACATACTAATAACAGTCTTTGTTATTTTCAGTTTTGTTAATCCTCTACAAACATAGAATGCATAAAATGACTTGGCGTTGCAGTGGTATCAGTCTGCTTGCCTTTAGGGTTGTTGTGTCACTGTACCTTACTGTGCAAACACCCACACCTGACTGAGCAGGCCCAGTGCCCTGGCCTATATTCACTATGCCTCCTTTAGTCAAACTGATCAGAGGACAGCCGCTTTGGAGCCATGACTTCATGACATGTTTGCTCTGTCTTTGAACACCATAGATAACTCCGGGCAGATTTTACAGCTCTGTGCCCAACTGGAATCTGCGAGCACTCTTTTTCAATAACGCTTGCTTAGTCATAATAGTAGTTTCTGTATCATAAGTTTTGTATAATTTGTATATAATGATAGTATTTCAAGTAACATTAGTTTTATGTGATTGATAGAAAGTGTACTTCTTGAACATCTTGTAGTATGGTTAGAGATGTCACAGTATTACATTTTAGTGAAATTTATCTCATGTTTTCAATGATGCCACTACCAAACAACAGTGAAATCCTTTATTTTCTTTCATTCACATTCTCTAATATATTAACACATCTTAAGTATGTATTATGAAACCCGCTTTATGAAACCAGACCTTCCAAATGATAAAGTTAAAGCCAAGAAAAAAAGTCTACATCTAGTCTATGTAGGTCTACTTTTAACTTAGACTCACTTGAAATGGTGTAATTTTGCTTTTAAAGTTCTCACAATTATTCTCTACATTGGAGCCTGAATAATCCCTATTATTGATTAACAAATTGATCCTGACATCCCTAAGTATGGTATAATTTTAAATCTTTTCATATTCTAGCCTGTTATGAATTTGTCACGCCCTAAACAGGACTGTGGGTGCCTGCTCATTCAGAGACAACCCCTGAGGTCAGGGTGTGGAGGTCCCGGGCAATATGAGGCACCATAGTGGAATACAAAGACAGCAGCACAGAAGAGGAGAGCATTTCAGTACTCAGCTCTGTTGCATGTTTATGTCGCTCTTGAGGTCAGAACCACAGGCCTACAGTTTCTCTTGTATACTAAAGCCAGGCTGACTCACATGAAACTGCGTACGGCCAGCTTTGCTCCGACCACAATTTGACAAACTTTAATTCAATTTAATGCCCCATCAACATCCCTTAACAAAAGCTAAAAATTGTTGAAACGTGCTTCTATGTAGAGGTGGGCAATATGTCAACAACTTTTCTTGCAGCTAGATCACAGTTGAAACTTTTATCATGATTCATGTACATTTACTTGTAATTGTACTAGTAATCTCTATTGTGATTGGCTAAATCCATCTGCTACTCACACAGAGCTAGGCTGCTAGGTTCAGTAGGAGGTGTGGGTGGGAAAAAAGTGCATTGAACAGAAAATTATTAAATTACAATATAATAGTTTTGTCACAAAAGCATATTGTCACTTAGCTGGAATCCAGAATTCTTTAATATTTTACGAGGTTGCGAATCTTGTCACTGAGGAATCTCCCTGTTTTCAAGTGGCTGTGATTGACAGGTGGATAAACCAACCAGAGATACACATGATCCATATGTATCACACATGTATAGGACAAAAAAAGTAAAGGGAAAACAAATATCACAGGGGACTGGAGAACATTGCAGATTTCTGTAGAATCAATGAGTGAAGCACTAAACTCTATTAATCTGAGGTGAGATCAAGGTGGTGAGTTGAACAATGAGCTCCTTCATTTCAGATGTGTCACTGAAACAAATGAATCTAATTGCACGCTCACGTTTGGTCGAACTTGAGACGCAAAAGAGGGCATGAGGCCCAGACTGATATCAATCTGTATTAAAAATACAAAGAGACATCATTCTTGATTTGCCAAAAATATTGTCACAGGAATCAAATCACGATTCAACTTTTATGGCATATCTGTGCGCATGGTTTTATTTTAGCCTGTATTATATGGAATTAGCAGCCATAATAAAATTCAAAAATTGTAAATGAAAATCAGTGATAGGGTTAGTATTTCAAAGTGATGATCTTCAAACGTGTGACGTCTGCACTGACCTCTGCTTTGGGCGTTACTCAGGCATCTTTAGGTATGAATCCCCTTTGTGACAGCTCAAGATAATAGATAATAGATAATAGATAATAGATCTGGGTAATAGATTGCTTATTTCAAAGACACAAAACTCACAGCTATTTGAGTCTGAAGCATTAGAAACTCATCTGCCTAAAGACAGTATAAATATTTGATATGTCTTAATTTTACAGGACAAACAGACATATATTGTTGCATTGCAAGTGCTCTTTCAAAACCTTGTGCCATTATCAGGCAACCGGGCCAGCCATACAAGCTCATTATTCAACTTTTGAAGAGGAGAATACCAACAACAATGAAATGTTAAAGGGATAGTATATAAGATTTAGATTTTTAATTTCACCATGACCTATCTGTGGCTTCATATAAGAGAAAAATACATCGCTTTTACTGATAACATTTGCAATGCAGATCCTTTTTATGTAACTAAAACATTAGACATGATGGCCAAGTAGTTTATGTTAAGTTTTATATGTGTATTTTTGCATCCATTAATCATTAACCAATGTTACTGCAGCCTCTGTAGCTCAGTGAGTGAATTCTGTAGGTTTGACATTTCATGAGGCAAGGCCTGTCCATATACTGAGAATAAGTAATGCTTCTACACATACTCTGTATGCAGGTCTGTTGCAACTTTTAAAACTGTAAGATTGTAGATTACATATATAGTTCCTTTAATACACAGTGAGCTAAAAACAACTGGGGCCAGAAGCCTAAATAAGCACATTTGATTATCAGCTGCATGTGAAGTTTATCAGTGTACCATGAGTCAGACTGTTGGCAGGCAGCATGTCTGTCTTATTTTATTCACGCATTATGAAATGTGCTGTTGTTGTCAGAGTTATAGTAGATTTGATGCTATCTACCCATAAGCCTATTATTAACCCATCAAATACTTGACATCAT